TTTAAACACACACCTAAGCTTTATGAACAAATCCATTATCTGCAGAGGTCTCTGCCCATCTTAGAACTTTCCATCCCAGTGTAACAGATTGAATAAAAAAATGCTCGCTATAGGACCATGCCAAGTTTGGCTGTCGCCTCCCCTAAGGCTGCTGTGATTCATGACAATAGGCAGGCATTCTAGAATCATTAAGTTCCAGCAGCTATTTCTGTTTAGCTTTTGCACTAACTGTCCCTTACTTACCGGGAATACAGATGAGAGAACACACGCTGCAAGCATTTCCCTCCAGCAAACTGATGTTGAAGGTGGTAGCTGTGCTGATGCCATCTGTGCAGGAGAGGGAGAAACATGGTTTGAGAGTAAAATAGTGGATTTGATACTTTTCAAAGACCTAGTAATTAGTGGTAGGAATGATAAACCAGGCATCTAGTCCAGCCCTCGGCCAGTGTGGGATTGCTCCCTACAGTATATTTAGTAGCAAGTTGTCCAGTCAAGTACTAATTACTTGAAGCAAGGGAGCTTTCTTTTTCACCAGGGAGACTGCTCTGCAGTATTGGTAGCCAGCTTTGAACATTTAGTTTTTCCTTTCCCCCCAGCCCATTATTCTGCATTCTAGGGCCTTGGCTCACCCCAATTAATTCCCCATGCTGCTTGCTGGTTATGCCATCCAAGCATATTGTAGCTCATTACATCTCCTTCTCTGCTCCCTTTGGTCATAACTTACCCTGCATCTGCAGCTTTACTTCTTTTAATCTTCCATGATAGGCCAATTCCCTCTCCCCCTTTAATAGCTGCTGCTGTTTTCTGTACTCTCTCCAATTTGGCTATAGCTTCATGCAATGGGAGGCCTCCCCTTTTGGCTTTCCCCAAGGGAGGCAAAGGCCAATGCTTTGCATAGTTATGCCATGAAGTGGTGAGTAGAGCGGAAACTAGGCTGAGTAAGTGAGAGAGAGCAGGAGGGTTAGCTTTTAGATCACACTGCAGCTGAGCCACTTCCAGACTTTGCCAGAAATGGACCAGTTCACAGCTAACAGGGATTTTTTAACCTTTCCTGAAAATGGGAAATTGAGTCAAACTGCAAAACTGGTTTAAAAGGACATAGGACAAGGCATGGGGCTTCTTACAGCTCTGATCTCACATGCAGAGACCCCTTTCTGTGAAAAGAAACCTCTCAGTCTTATGGCCATTCCAATGTATCGTTTAACGGACGGTTTTTGCTTTGAGCTTGGCAGAAGATGATCAGATGGGCTAATTTTAGCATTCTCAAGAGGGAGCAAGATGGTAGGTGTTAAACTATCACTCCATTTTATTTCCCCTCCCTACCATCTGGTCTGCCTGAAATAATCCCACGCCCCTCTTTGCCTTTCCATTAGTAGGACAGTCAGCTGTGTCCTACTAGAGAGGTTCCAGGTCTCCGCAGGACGCAACCATGTAGCTGCGGATTATATAGCTTGAATTGTCATCTCTGGCAGGGCAGCAATTAGCTATGGTGGTGTGGGGAGAAAAGAGAGAAAATGTAAGTTTTTCTGGCATACTGTTAATTACCAGAGACTTCCCCCACTTTGCTGAAAAACATATTGATAACAAGTGTTTATTTGGAGCTGAGAAATGAAACCATAGCAGCACCACATTAGAAAACTTCTTTTGATAGAGGGACTTGCATCCAATTGTTGTAACCTAAACTTGGGGCAGACTCCAGCTGAGAACTCTCTTCTGCTGCTTTTGTGTCGTCATACCAGATCCTATCGATTTTATGAAGAAGGTAATGTCATTTGTTTTTTATTGCGCACCCTTCACACACAGCATCACAGCACACTGGAGAGACTGTCAATCATGAGCTAAGAGAAACATGGAAGGCTACGGTACGATTTAAAGAGAAGCAATTCCCTGCTGTCATGGAGATGATCTCGCTGAAGCAGTACAGGCAGCTGAACCCACATCTAGGAAGAACAGTAGGGAAGGCCACAGAGGAGCAGCAGCAGAGTGGGGGAAAGAGGGTAGAGAGGCCACAGGGAGTTTTAAAAAAGGAGGGGAGAGGGCTGGAAAGGCATGGGGTGAGGAGAAAGTACGGTTGGATAGAAGACTTAAAACCAAAACCCCTCCCTGCAATGGCGGAGTCAAATGCTAGGGCAGTGTTGGAGGAAGTGCTTTATTATAGTAATATTAATGTAGCTGTGTTAGTCTGGTGTAGCTGAAGCAAAATGCAGGACAATGTAGCACTTTAAAGACTAACAAGATGGTTTATTAGATGATGAGCTTTCGTGGGCCAGACCCACTTCCTCAGATCAAATAGTGGAAGAAAATTGTCACAACCATATATACCAAAGGATACAATTAAAAAAATGAACACATATGAAAAGGACAAATCACATTTCAGAACAGAAGGGGGATGCGGGGGGGGGAGGGAGGAAGGAAGGTAAGTGTCTGTGATTTAATGATATTAGAGGTGGGGAAAGGTAGATGTCTGTGAGCTAATGGTATTAGAGGTGATAATTGGGGAAGCTATCTTGGTAATGGGTAAATGCTTTATTATGTGTGTGTATTGAGGGGGGGGCTGGTTTTCTCTGGGGGCAAGGAAACCAAAATTCAAGTTTCCCATCTAACCCGTGCCAGTCTGGAGCCTGAGACAGCCCTTCCCTCTATTTAGCCCCTCTGTCATCATGCTCTGCCTTCAGAACCCCATCATCTCCCCTGCATTCATTGCAATAGGTCAGGGGTGGGGAACCTTTTTTGGGTTGAGGGCCACTGACCTACAGAAAAATCAGTTGGGGGCTGCACACAAGTGAGAAGCGGGAAAAAAACCACACACGGTGGCCCCTGACTGAGAAGGAGAAAGACACTTTCCACATTCCCCTCTCACACCAGAACCTGGGAGGGCCCAGCCTAGTAGATTTTGTGCGCTCCAGCCCCCAGGAGGGCAGCAGGGGGGGTTGGAGCACCAGCATGGGCTCCCCAATGCTGGGGGGGGGCTGAGCCTCGGGCCAGATCCAGGCCAGTTGAGGGCTGGATCTAGCCCCCAGGCCTAAGGTTCCCTACTCCTGCAATAGGTCAAATGGTGTAACACCATGGATTGCTGCAAAGCTGCAGTTTAGCTCCATCACTCTAAGCTAGTTCATTTTAGTGCTGACTACACAATAAAAAGAAGACAGTAAGCATTCTACATGAACAAGCTGTCTAGGCAAAGCTTACCACATGAGAAAGACACAGATTACTCTAACGACAAGTAACTGACCATAACACTCTGCACAAGGGGAATTTTATGCAAGATGTTGTGGGCTGCTAACTCCTGAAGTCACATCCTTCCTATTAGGGGCTCATTGCTGCTCCCAATTAAGTCCATGGCAAAATTCCCAATTCCTTTGACAGATGCAGACCTGCTCATTTAAGTTTGGCATGAGAGACAGATTAATTTATACTCTTAAAATCACCCTAGTGAAATGAGCAGTGGTACAACTGTTGGCTGAGTCAACTAACGTCCAGATTAAGATGATGTCGTTTTAGTAATCAATAGTGTGCGTTGGGAGGACGAAGTTGGGAATAACCAACCCATCAATCCGTCACTGATAATACACAACTGGCTTCTGAAAGTGGCACTGAAGCAAGGGGTAGATAATCACATGGCAGGAAGACAGCGGGTGCAATGGTTCCCCATTGCTTTGGGCTGGTCTCAGAAGGAAGAGCTCAAGGACCTGCCTTTCCAATAACCAGCATTTTCTGTAAGAGGTCACCAGAGAGACTGTGTCCTGCATGCACATAATTTCCCCTAGTGTAAATTACAGTCAGATGGACATCAAGGGGAGAATCAGCCTTACGAACTACACTGTGAAAATAGTGCGAAAGTCTGTAATATCCTACTGCATGTGGAAAATAATGAAGTCAGGCTCTTCTCGGGACAATCCCATGAATGGCCAAAATGGCAGCTGGCTACAATACTGAGCAATTTTCCACAAGTGAATAGAGACCAAACTCCTTGGTCATAATGGAACATTGTCCTACATGGAAGAGGCCAACGTTCTAAATATATATAAAGGATCAATGACAGTTGAGAGAGGTTTGCCAGCTAGTACTAATAGCTAGCAATTCACTTGGGGAGGAGTGCATTACTCAGTAGCTAGTAGTCAATCAGAGGATAGGTTTCTCAAGCCATTGGGCATATGCCGTCAAATAAAAATTCCATTCAGACCCACAACAAGGAGAGAGAAGAGAAAGTGCAATTGAAATTTCCATTACAGATTTACAGTCTATACACATCTGCATCACACCAGGAAGAGTTACAGTATTCTGATTTGTATCCCCCAGCTGCTTATCTTTACATAAACACTTTCCATTGCTCTTTTAACAGCTACAAAATATTGAAAAAATCTATTTTGCACCCTCATCCGAAGAGCAGAATATTTACATATCTACAAGCACCCGCCAAAAAAGAACCTGCTTGTGGACTGACATCTCTGAGTCTTTCAGAAGTCAAATGATTAGTGAATCAAACCCATATTGTTCAAGGTACCCTCAAGTTGCTTTATGATCCAGAACAATCTATAATTGTTAATAGGAAGGTGCTTTCAAATCAATCACTCGCAGTAACAGTTTTGTTCCCTGGAAGATGAGTGCTTCAGTGGCCTACCAGGAGAGATTCAAATACTTCCTAGCTGATTCACAGAGCACCCACAGTGCCCACAGCCTGCAACATGTGTTTCTACTGGTGGTGCATATCTGCACATGCCTCAGTGCACATAACAAAATGTATTCTGCACGCAGATGGAAAAAATTAGAGGGAACACAGGTTAAAATAATGATTATGTCACTGCTTCAGGGGTCCCACTGCTAACTGACCTGAGTGCCCATCTAAGAACTGGGTACAGACACACATGGGCGTCCGGTATAATAGGCGGAAAAAGGCACTGCCTTCCCAAACCGCCAGCCTGGCCCCGCCCACACTCTGCCCCTAGAATGTCTGCAATAGGCATTCTGGAGGCAGAGAGTTGCTGCCCCCAGCACCCGCCCACCCAGGGTTCCTGGTCGGGGAGGCTGAGGCCGCGTCCTCCTCCCTCCCCATGCTCTGGGACTGGGGAGGTTGGGGATGTGTGCCGCCTGCCTTCCCCATGCTCTGGGGTTGGGGGGCTAGGGCACATGCGAGCCCACCCACCCTTCCTGTGGTGGTGGGGGGTGCACGGCACACTGCTCTGCCTCCACGTGAGCCTTACCATCACTGACCGCCCATGCATACATACACAGGGTGGCTAGCCCTCTGACAGCAGCTACATACTCTGTACTAGCACCAGTCTGTGTCCTCGAGTTGGGAATCGCACCCCCTGCTCCACATGGAACATGCCCTTAGCAACAAAAGAAAAAAAAAAGTGAGACTCATCTAGCAGCAGGGCTGTCATTACCTCCACTTTACTCCACTTTACCGCCACTTTACACTGTGGAAATGTGACTGCTCAGTGAAATTTCTACAGGGACGCATTTTTGAAAACTGCTCATGCTACCGGATCCCTGTAGTCAAACTTGACATGGGTTCTTCAGCCAGCCAGAGCGATTTCCTCCACCACTTTCTTCTGATGTCTTCACTTTACATAGAATTTAGTATCTCAAGAGAACATTTTCTCATCAAGCCCAATATCAGCCTCCCAGCAAACAGCCTCTTTCATGTACAAGCCATGCAGAGATCTTAAGGAATCCTTGCTATTACTAAGCAAGAGGCCATGGGGGAAAGATACAGAACATTCACTATCACTGGTAGACACGAGTAGTGGGCCAAGAGCAGCATAAGAGGCTACTAAGAAAACTAAGACTCATTTTCCCCAAGGAATACAATAAAA